CCATTGAACAGGTAGCTAAGAGAGGATGCTCCAGTGGTGGAATTCCAGGGCAAGTTTCCTGAAGTCATAGGAATTGCACACTTGGGTATGGGTGACCCTCGGCACGTATGTCTTCTTGTGGTCCCATTTCTCAATCTATAAAAAGGGGTCTAGGTGTTGTGGATGAGCAGGGTCCCTGGCTCAGGCCCTTTGATGGGTGTCTTAGGTCAGCGATCCTAAGGACTTCCAATGCTCTGCACCTCCCTCCCACTCCACAGAGGCCTGCAATCTCCCCATAGTCTCTGGCCCCTGCCGAGGCTCCACCCGGCTCTGGGCATTTGATGCTGTCAAGGGGAAGTGCGTCCTCTTCATCTACGGGGGCTGCAAGGGCAACAGCAACCAGTTCTACTCAGAGAAGGAGTGCAAGGAGTACTGTGGCATCCCTGGTGAAGGTAGGAGGCCCGACAATGCCAGGCTGGGCCTGGGGGATATCGGGGTCCAGGTGGGGGAGCCCTGGTAGGAGGTGAGGGTCTGGAAAGCTGAGTTCTGTACTCTGTACCAGGTGACCAGCCCATCCACTCTCTGGACCTCAGTTTCCCACCTGTAAAATGGGGCCAAGCCTGAGGCCTTACCCCAGCTGGGATGGGGCATCTGGGCCCAGGCAGAGGGAAGGCAGGACAGGCTGAGTGGGGCAGAACTGGGCTCCAATCCCGGCATTGCCACATTTGGGCTGGCCACACTGAGTGTCAATTTGAGCCTCAGTTTTCTCTTTTGTAAAATGGGACGAAGTACCTACTTCACAGAGCCTCGCACGGTCCACATCCATCTAGCGGCAGCCGTTACTAATAACGGTGGTGATGCTATAATGATAACAGGAATAGCATTCCAGGGAACAGCAGCCGTTAAAAGATTTCTGTGCCTTATCTCCCCACTGGGAAAATGGTACCTAAGGTAAATCAGGAGGCAAAAAATCAGATCATTCCGTGGAACGCACTCTGGAGATAATCGAGTCACTCCGCAAGCAGAAGTTTCTGGCCTCAGGCTCAGGCTTAAGCTCAGCCCAAGCTGCCGTCCCTCCTCTATGAGGCATCCCCATCCCCTGACCGTCCCCACCCACAGACCCCTGGACGACCCCACACCTACTCCCCGAGCCTCTCTGTGTCCACAGGGGAGGAGGAGTTGCTGCGCTTCTCCAGCTGAGCAGCCCACAGGCCAGAGGTCCACAGGCCACAGGGAGCGCGAGGGCCAGCGTCCGCCCCAGGGTCCCGCGGCAGGTTCCAATAAAAAGCAAATTGTAGACTCCTGAAATTCCATGTCCTGATGATTCATCACGAAGTATAATGAGATGGGGGGAGGGGAGGGGGAGACAAGCTGGGGAGCGGGCATGAGTAACCCAGCTTTCCCCACATGTGAAAAATGTACGTGTTGGCAATGTAATAGAGCCATCTTCAGGACATGAAATTGGCTATGCAAATTATGAAACATACATCACAGTTCTGTATAAAATGGGATTGTTTTGTCTTAATAAAGCTAGAAGAGAAAAGAGGGGAAAACTCTGGGTACTTGTTTCTGGGAGGGGTTTGACAGGGCTCATCAGAGACCCAGGGTCAGAAGAAATCACCGTGCCCTAGTGTGTGCCCAACTGGGTCTGGGTAAATGCCCCACGAGCGCCTGAAAGAATTCCCCTGTCCTTGGCTGCACAGAACCGCACGCCAGCGTTTACTTTGCTCACAGCTGCATCCCCAGCAGTAGCTGCCAGGGGCTGGAAGGCCTCGGGCTGTTTCTCCACAGGGTCCTGGAGATCCCATCTCCTGGGATCCTTGCTCTGGCCCTTTGCCCCGGAAGGAGAATGGTCACCGCCCTTTGCACTGTGCCCAGAACAACCAGCTGGCCCTGGACCGGAGCTGGAAGCCCTGGGTCTGGCCCGGCTTCTGCTCCCTGGAGGAAGAGAGCAGGTAGGCTGTCCAGGGTGGCTCAGGCACCAACTTGGCCCAAGCGCACAACTCCAGGAGCCTCCAGCTCACACACACCAGATTTACAAACATCGGACTTATAAACACCTCTTTTGGGCTCCATCCACCCAGAGTCCTGACAGCTGCCGCTGCAAGAGTCCAAATCCCAGCTTCCTGGGTTCTGAGGTGGAATGCTGTGTTGAGGGGACGAACCCAGAAGCAAGGATTTGGGTGGAGAGCGCTTTGCAGCCGCCTTGGTCAGACCACATAGAGATTCCCCGCCTTACGCACCCCGGAAGTCCCAACCTTGGGGCTTCCAGGTTTCAATAGAGAGGACAGTCCTGAGGGACAGCGTTTGTGGGCCTGGCTGGGAGTCACTGGGCAGAAGTGGGCAGGAGCGGGGACACAGGGAGAAGTGACAGGCTCTCCAGCTTGGAACTAACAAATGTCATCACGTCCTGCGTCCATACCTTGCCCCCTCCATGCATGATTCACACACTGGGGCTGCCACCTATGGCAGTTGGAAGGTGCCATGCTGAAGAAAGATATTTTGAAGTGACCTGAAGGACAAATGCCTAAACCGGACAGTGCAAGCCACAGGTGGGCTGGCCAGCCTCAGCTCAGCTGGTGGATGGGAGTTTGGCTCCTAAGGTATTTTACAGTTCTGAGTTCACCATTAAAAAATGCACCTCCCGGATTTCCCTGGTGGTGCAGTGGTTGAGAATCCGCCTGCCAATGCAGGGGACGCGGGTTCGATCCCTGGTCCAGGAAGATCCCACATGCCGCGGAGCAACTAAGCCCGTGCGCCACAACTACTAAAGCCCGCGTGCCCTAGGGCCCGCGCGCCGCAACTACGGAAGCCTGGGTGCTTACAGCCCGTGCTCTGCAACAAGAGAAGCCACCACAATGAGAAGCCCGCGCACCACAACAAAGAGTAGCCTCTGCTCGCCGCAACTAGAGAAAGCCCGGGCACAGCAACGAAGACCCAAGGCAGCCAAAAAAAAAAAAAAAAAAAAAAAAAAATGGACCTCCCATATAAAACTCTAGGTTTCTCAATTCTCTTGAAAAATAAGTTCTGGCAGCCTTGGGCCTGCATCCTGCACCCGAGACACCCCTTTAGATGGGGCCTCCCCTCTGGGTCACCAGCCCTGCCTGCCACCCTCCCTGGTCCTGAAGGCTTTTATCTCCATGACAGTTACTAAAACTTTCCCTACAAAATCCCTTGGATCTTGTCTTACCCCTCAGGGGTGGGATGGGGTTGAAGCACATCTGTGACCTCCAGTCAGGAGTCCACTCATCCCAGAAGGGACCAGAATCATTGTCAGCCGAGCGGCTACCCTGATGACTCATCTGATTCTTAAACAGTCTCACCTCCAATTCTCTCTTAAAGATACTGGTCATGCTCATCTCTGTCACAAAATACGCGTGGCTACTTAATAAACAAACATGCTTTTTTTTAAAAGTTTTATTTTAAAATCCAGAGGCTGGCCCTTCAGTCGTATGGAGGCTCTGGCCACGCCCTGACCTCATTGGATCCCGACGTTCCCAGCTAGCGGGGGAGTCTTCCCGCTCCAGCAGGACTCTAGACTTTTGTTTTAGAGCCAATAGAAACTCCTTGATTAAACTTCAACCGCTGGCTGAGGAATGTCCACACGGTACACTGAACAGCAGGAAACTCCCACTGAAGGGGGGTTCTGAGGGCAGGGCTGATGCCCCGGGGAGGCTGGCCCACACTCGGCCAATTCGTGCCGTCATCCTTGCGATTTGATGGAATTTGTTTGGCTCATCAAGCAGCATGTCCTCTCTGAGGAGAGCACCCGTTTCTGGTTGAGGACAGGGATGAAGCCGGACGTGGTTTTACCTTTGAACAGCTGTTCAGGCAGCAGCAGGCCTGCTTTAGGGGAAGCTGTCACCCTCCCTGCCCACTCTGGCCACAGCTGTCTTCTGGTGGCGTCTTCTCTCCACGACTTGCCTTCAGTTCGACTCTCCAAGCCAAGCGTTGATGTGCGTGTCTGGAGTGTGAGGCTCGGGTCGAGGCCAGCAGAGGGGCAAGTCCACCCGGCTGGGCCCCCGCAGCCCACCGTGGAGGGCACTGGCTAGAGTCACGGATGCCACTGGCAAAGCCACAGACGCTCTCCCCGGAACAGACAATACACAACGCTTCAAACTTCACACACACGACCACTGGGCAAGACGAACTTGGACGTGTGCTTTACTTAGGAGACGGGTGTGCTGACTCCAGGCAGGTGGGGGAGGAAGGCCACACCGTCTTGAAGGGAGTGGGAGAGCTGTCTGGCTCGGAGGATGGCAGCAGGTCGGTGGCCAGCAAATGGGGAGGAAGCATCAGAGAAGGGGACACCGTGGGAAAGCCACGCAGAGCTTCAGAAGGACAGAGGAAGAAGGGCACCCGAGCTACCTGGTCTGGCTGCCCGGCGGGCCCACCAGTCGCTTGGTTCACACCCACTGCAGGCGTCTGAGCTTTGCCTGAACCTCTCCTGGGATGGAGAGAGCCTCTCCTCCCAAGGCAGGCTTTCCACTCTGACCTGTGCTGGGGACAGTGTGTCCAGACACTGGGCTGAAATGTGTCTCCACAGCTCCCACTAATTCTTAACTTTCTGAGTCACAGATGCCATCAGGAATTTGGCACAATCTACGGGCACTCTTCCCCAGAAAATGGATGGTTTACACAACACACATCACATAAATGATGGTGGCCAAGGCGAACTTGGATGTGTCCCTTGGGCACTGGGCCTGTAGGACTCGGACCAAATCCATCCTTCCTCCGCTGGGACAGTGTTTCACAACAAGGCCCACGGAGACCACGTCTTCTTGTGGCCGTGTCCCTCCCTTATCAGATACCACCAAGCTGGGTCTGGTGCCTGCCTGAGGTCAGCAGGGAGCTCCGAGGAGCTAACCCCAACCTCACGTAGTATCCCCTCGGGATGGACTCCAGCTCTGTCACCCCCAGGTGACATCTCTGCCTCTGTCCATCTCTACTCACCAGTGCCCTGCTCCTACCTGGATGACATGGCCCAATGCCAACCCAAGAAATAACACCACGCACTGCCATCTTCCTAAAGGTTGTTTTATTGTAAAACCATAAATACAACACTGACATGAAATCATTTAAGCAACTGATCCTCTCTAACCATTAAAAGGATGTCTTTTTACCTTGGCATCAACCAACCAGGAAATAATGTTGCAAGAATTCGGGGGGTAGGGGGTGCTGATTTCTGGGTGGGGGCTTTTGGTGATTTAAGGAACCAAGTGGAACCTTCCTCTTCTCCCTGGGAATGTCCCACTTTTGGACAAGAACAGACAGGTAAAAACAGCAACATTTAAACAGCTCAGTTTTAAATTTTATTACTTTGTAAAAATCTTTTTTTTTTTTTTTTTTTCCTGTTCCTTTCCTCCATTTGACATCAGTAAAAGTTTTAAACACCAGAAAACTGATTTGGCCGTAAATGGAGAAACGGTACCAAAACGAAATGAAACCAAAACTCCAAAGGACAAACAGAAAAGCCTAAATAAACCCTCAAGTTTGGTCTCGGGGGTTTACATATCACAAGAACCGTCACCTCAACCCCCATGCAATGTGACTCCTTGGAGAGCTGCTGGGTCCACACCAACAACACAGGAGACCGCAAACAACGTCTTTTGTTAATTAACACAGCAAGGGTGACACTAGGTAACTTTTTTTTTAAATACAGTACATGGTACACAGGGTCCCAAGATAACCCTGCATAAACCCCTTGTGGAGACTTGAGCCAAAGCACTGGCTGTTTATAAAAATATTGTGTTGCTACAAAAGTATAAATTAATGCTACCGGTATTAAGAAATATTAAACACATAAAACTTATAAGGATTAAGAAAAATATTCATTAATACCTGTAGAAAACTCTGGCCTAAAAAAGATATTTTTTTTGTGTTTGTTTTTTTGTAAATTTTTTTTTTTTGTATTTTTTTAAGATGACTTGAGTTTCTTGCACTCGAAGAGAGAGACACAGTCAGCTGTGCCTATGGTATTGCCTAGAACGTCTTAACTACTGAGAAAGGATGAGGGTGCACACGCATGGGTACTGAGTGGGGCCTGGGAGGGAGGGGCACCAAGGCTTTCTCAAGATTTACCTGATGTGAAAGAATCACCGACACAAAGTTACGGGGAAAAGAAAAAGGAAGGATCATCAGAAAACAACTGAAAATAATTTATGCTTTTTAAAAAATACCTCTGCTTCAGGTGGTTGTACAAAATGATTTCCTGATGCTCGGCATCTGAATGGCCCTGGACGCACTGCCCGGCGGGTCTGGGAGCCTCCAGCCCCGCAGGTCCCTCTGTCTCCAGCCCCGTGCCAGTCCACGAGCTTGCTCACCGCTTTGGGACCCGACCACCCTGGCTGGGTGGGAGGGAAGGGTCCCAGGCAGGGACCGGCTGGCACCTGGGTTGTGGGAAGAGCCCCCCTTTCCGGCTGGCCTCAGACCCCATGGTCTCTTGCCAAGCTGGACTTCAGGAAGCGCCACAGGGATCCCAGGCCCCTGAGGTTGCGGACCAGGCTGGGCTGTGCCCCTTTAAAAGGAACTTTGGTTTGAAGAGTCAAGGTGCCCAGTGGGACGCATGGGTGGGGAGGGCCCCTATGGGTCCCGATGCTGACACCCAGCTGCAAACTTAGCAAATCCTTCTCTGTACAGCAGTTGAACCTTTAAAGCAACGCCCGTGGTGGTGGAGGGGCATGAATATTAACAAACAGCAACCCGATGCCCTTCACCCTCATCAAAGCAGGAGCAGGTGCCTCTCCGCACGGAAACTACAGGGCCCCTCCAGGGAACGGCGGGGCTCCGCTGACCACGATCCTTAAACGCAAAGGACAGAGGAAGAAATACAACAACAAAATCCTCCAGAAAACCCTGAAAAGGGGAAACCCGGTGGGAAACAGAAAAGGGAAAACACTGTATCATTGGTTCACCATAACTGGCCTAGCAAACATTAGCCACAGTGAAGAGGGGGCAGGCCCCTTCCCAGTTCTCCCACTGGCCCGGCTGGATACAGGGGGGCCGAGACAGGAGCCCTCCACCCACTGTCTCCAGGGGACAGCCTGCGCCTTACTTGGCCTCTGGGTTTCATCTAAACCAGCAGCCTTTCTAGAAGCCCTCCCTCAGGTACGTCCCAGGGACACAGGCGCTGTCGCTGTGCCCAAGGCAAGGGGCAGAGCTATGAACTTGCCCGGCTCAGGGGGCAGGAGGAGACTGCCGGCCGTGCTTTGGGTGCCTCCTCTTCCCGTCTCTGCAAGCACATCCATCGTCATGGCAACATCCAGGTACTGTCCCCTTCTGGGCCATGGCTCACAGGACCTCCCTTCTCCATCCGCATCCCAGGTTCATTCCAAACCTTTCTTGTGAACCTGTGGCCCCCAAGAATGCACGCTGCATCCCTGACAGCTCTTCAGGTGCCCACTTTCCAAGGAGTCTAGTCCAAGTCCAGGCGCAAGCCTAGAGGACCCCTAAAGGCAGAGGGTCTGCTTCACAGTGGAAAACACGCCTTGCAGAGTTTTTCTCTGGTGTTTCTCGAAAGTGCAGGAGAGAAAGGAGCAAACTGAAGGAGACGCTTGCCAGCCTACAGAGCTGGTGTCAAAAAAAGTCCTTCCCAGACATCTGGAGACACAGAACTTCTCAACTGTGTCATCGGACTGTCCTCTCCTCACCAGGAAACCTCAGCACCCTTTTCCCAGCCAAGAGCCAAACCCCGAACGCCAAGCATGAGGCTGTCAGGCAAGTTGGTGGCGAAGCGTCCTCGCCCGTGGACACAGGAGGTGGCTTTCTATGCCGTGAACCCCGAGATGAAGTGTGGCCAGAAAGGAGCTTTGCCCAGTGGCCCCTCTGTTTCGTTTCCTGGTTTCTAACTACCATCTGGAGGGAGGCCTGGCTGGTGGACCTGGGCACGGGGAAAAAGAACCATGTCGGCACAAGGGCATCCACTCACAGCGACTGGGATGGTACCGCTGCTCTTGGTGGAGCCGAGACCCCCCCCCAGTTACTTCAAATCTGAGGGACCACCCACGAGGCTATGGTCCTTGGCTTGGGCTTTGGTGGTGAAGCCAACTGACCTCAGATGAGGGGGAAAACCCTGCAGAGTGGAGGTGTGTTTTCTCCACCTGCCCTCTGGGGTCTGTGCATGTCAACGCAAAGGCCATTTCTATCCTGGAAATCACATGGTTCAGGCAAGTTTTGTCCAAGTCAGCAGGCAACCGCCTTGAGCTGTAAAGTCCTATAGTGGTCACAGAACTGGGAGGCAGAAGACAAAAACTTTCCGAAGGTCAATGCCAGGCTAGGGGCCGGGAGATGAACTGGAAGAGCCGACCTCAATCCTTTGGCTGAGCTAGAATTTGGATAGGGTGGATATTGCTGGAGATGAGGGGCCAGTGGCTGGGCCTGTGAGATCTTTGGGTTTTATTAAGCTGTTCACTGCAACGGGCTCTGCACTATGGGAGCTGTCTGCATGAGTAAGCAGATGGAGGGGGCACCTTGGTACAGCCTTTCCTGTTGGCAACGAGTTTCTGAAGAACCAGAGGCCGCAAGAGAGAAATGACTACCTGCCACCTTGTTCCCATATCTGGATGAGGCAGCCCCAGGAGACAGCTTTCCGAGACCTACTGGCACTCACATCACATCTGCAGAGCACGCCAAGCCCTAAGGATTGAACTGAGGTGGAAAGGACGAACAGGACAGGAGGTGACACATATGACTAGATAACTGCAATTTAGTTAAGACTTAAATTTTTCTGAAGAGAAGAACGCTGATACCAGGGCTTGGTCCTGATGGCTTTGCAAGAAAGTGAAATGCCTATTTGCTAACTGAGTGGCCCCATAATGAGGCAACACCAGCACAGCTCCGCTCTAAGAAGAGGGAGGATGGGCTCCAAGGCTTGGCTCCCACTGACCACACAGAACGGGTAGCTCCCATCCTCCACATGTGGTTCAGAGTGTCAGATCATGGACCCTTCCCCAGCAGCAAAGCAAAGCTGGAGGCCTTTTGCTGTAGGCATCTGTCACCCATCAGCAACCCTGCAGCCACCTTCTGGAATGCCCCCAAAAGTCTCATTGAAAAGTCTGCCGATGCTCCCATATACTCTAGGAAGCGACATGAGGTGACTGTCCAGTGCAGATGGAGGCTCTTCTGACGGCGTGACCCCAATTGGAAGTGCCGTGGAGTTAATACCCAGAACTTCTCCGGGAGAGGAAATGGCATGGTGGTTCCTGAGACCATGGCTTGCTGGAGTGAATGGGGAAACGGCCCACTTTGATGCCTTTCAGTGTGTCCAAGACTCGGGAGGGTTAGTTCTCACGAGGCAAAGTGAGCAGGCTTGACACTTGGGACAGTGTTCTGGTCCATGATCCTAAGCCTTGAGTTTTCAAATCAACTTTACTTCCCCAACTTTACTGCCACAGACCGGGGGGAGAGGGCCGTTGTACAGTGCTTTTTGTAGTCGAGGTATCTCACAGTTGAACAATGTTTTGTTACTAGGAAGGGATGGAGTGGACTTGGTCAACCCCCAAGATGGTAGAATGTGCCCCCCAACGATGGTAGGCATCCTCAGCCTTGGTGTGACTATCTCTATCCCACAGTCGTGGGCACTGGGGGGATATGGGACCACCAGCACTTCATTCACTGAGAGGTGGGGTGGGAGGCTGAGCACTGATCCTGACGGAACCACCTCTTTAGAGGGGAAAGGGTCACCCTGTTGGCATTTTGGCCGTGTGTGGAACCTAAACTGCTCACAGAGAAACAAAGCCTAAAAACATCTTTCACAGCATCAAGTTGAATGTGGCCTAATGCCATTTCACCCTCAAAACATCCATCATTTGGCCCACAAGGCACCGTGCTCAACTACTGTCCTAGAAGGAGGGCTGAGGCTCGCGTGGGGACCCCCCAGGGCTGTGGGCAGCGGACCCGCCGGAATCCCCGGGGTCCTGAGGAGAGGAGGCCGTGGGTCTGAGGTGTGATGGACGTGAACACGGATTAACTCAGGAGTCCCTGCTGAGCTGGAAGGGTCAGTGACGTGGCGAGCAGTGTAATGCACTCTGGGTATAGAAATCAGACATTCGCGGTATCAGACACAGCGAGGCAGGAGGGCGGTCTTCTGCTTACATTCGGGAGAACTCCTAAGCCACATGCTTCCCTATGGCTTCCACCGAACCCCACGTCTGTGAAACCTGTGACTCCAACCTCACTCCTGGTCTCCAAACAGCACAACCAAGTTCATGGTCTTGGCTGTTCGAATACAGGAAAACTGGACTGTACAGGGAAGTCTAATAAAAACCTTAGGGTACTGACTATACCACTGAGATGAGCTAGTTTACAGTGTGACTTGAGGAACAAAAAGGGCAATCAAAAAACAAACAAAAAAACCCCCTCCAAAATATAAGTTACAGACATTCAGTGCCTCCTAGCAGAGCCTAAATCAAATTTGAAAAAAAAAAGTAAAAACTGCTAAAATGTTAGGAAAAAAATTATTAAGGAGTGGAGACAGTATCTATACTTCTTTGAAAAATGTCTTTTTTTTCTATCTTATATTAAAAAGCCAAAGGTCAGCTTTATATTCTTAAAGTCTCCTTTCCTGATTTGGGGAGATAGATAGGTGTGTTTCTAAGGCGGCTGCCCCATGACACCCAAGGGTATCACAAAGGCAGCAGCTCAATGCCCTGAAGGTGAACAAGAACAAAGTCCAGTGCAGAAGCTGTCCATCTGATGCAGTCTGGAGAATCCATGGCAGGGCAGCCGGGGAGGGGTGGGGTGCAATAGGGTCAGGAAGGCTTGGGGAGGGGGATGGAGGGCAAGGGGGACCACAGAGTGAAGGACAGAGAGCGTCAAGTCACTTCAGATCTCAGCTGCCTGAACATTTTACGTCAGTTTTCTACCAATCTGCGCACCTGAAAATGGAGTCTTTTAAAGCCCCCTTACTGAGAAAAGGAGGTGAAACATCTTCCCTCTTTCCCAAACACTCAGCTTTCCTGACACGCCCAGTTTAATGCACACGCGCCCACAAGCAGGCGTGCATACATGCACCAGGGGAGTATGTGTGTGCATGCGTGTGTGACACTTCTGCGGCCACGCAGGTGAGCACAGAGCCGCCCACGCCCGCAGTGCGCACGCGTGATTGTGTACACACATGCACACACACACTGAAAAAAGCACTTAAGTTTCCAGGGGGCATTTATAATGAGGTCCACAGTGTTTAGAACTTAAATTCCTTTTTCTTTGTTTGCGACAGTGTTGTGTGGTTTTTTTTTTTCCTAACGTTCTCTTCTTTTTTCTTTGTTCTTTCTTTTCATCCGGAAGTCTTAAAGCATGTTGGATTTCAGAAACATGAGTTTGTTCATATCTTCTGGACTGAGCAGTCGCCTCCTTTTGATGAGAAGTGCTTGTTCACACATATTTACACACCCGCTCCTGGCCCCCACGGCCGGCACCGCGAGGAGCCAGAAGGCGAGCTTGGCGAGTTTTGTGTGCTTTTGGGTCACGCACGACCAGTACTGGAAGAGATCCGGGGTGGCCTGGAAGAGGGGTTCCTGCAGGTAATCGTACACTTCCTTCTTCCCGAGCCGGTCGTCCTCCTGGGCGGCGGGGTTCTCGCCGGGGGCGGAGCGGGGCTTCTTGGCGGCGGGCTCGAAGTCGGCCTCCTCGGTCCAGGACTCCTTGACCTCGTTGATGAGCTCGCACACCTTGCCGATGATCTCCTCGTGCTGGTAGGGCGGGACGGGCCGCAGCTTCTGCTGTGGGTCCAGGATCATGGCCACCTTGTGCGCCGGGTGCACCTTGAAGTTCTCCTTGAGCGCCTCCAGGAAGAGGTGGCAGAGCTTGCTGACGGTGCCCGCGTCGTTGGCCTTGGCCGTGAACAGCTTCTCCAGCCTGACGTAGGTGGGCAGCACCAGCTGCAGGGTGGGCTGGCTCTCGTTGCTCAGCTCGATGACCGCCTGCTTCACCGGCGTCAGGATGGCGGCCAGGTTGCTGAGCAGGTGCTTGTTGAGGCTCTGGATGAGGTTCATCTTCTTGGCCCGGCTGTAGAACTCGCAGATCTGCTCGTAGCGCTCATGCACCAGCAGCAGCGAGTCCGTGACCGAGTTCCAGCAGGGCGGCGGCGAGGTCTCCTCCAGCGAGCCGAAGGTCTCCTTGGCGAGCCCGGTAGAGCCCGCCAGGTCCTCGCACACGCTGAGCAGCTCGATGACCTCGTGCATGCTGCGGGCCTGCAGCGTCCGCTTGCTCAGCACGCTCTGCACCACCGAGTTCAAGGCACAGGCTGAGCAGCGAAGGCACATGCCGGCCTTGGAGAAGGCGGATGCGCCCACCCGGCAGTCTGTCACGTACACTGTCCTGATCTCCGACATCACGAACTCCGACAGTACGTTCTGCACCCAGTGGTGCACCAGGTCGCCGCTGTCGCGAACGTCCGCGCCCTTCACGCCCAGCACGTAGCTCTTGATGTGGTTGCCCTCTGCCTGGTAGGCCGTGAGGATGTAGCAGGAGTCGGGGCCGACGCTCTGCGAGTGACAGGTGACGCCGATGCCCAGGCAGGCGTTGCTGCCCAAGGCACACGTCACCTTCACCTTCACCTGGTTGTACATGCGCGGCAGGTGCTTCAGCGCCAGCGTGTTGAAGTTGCCCAGGATCTCGGTGACTGAGAAGGCCCCGTAGCGGGCGCCGCTGTCCACCAGCGTCTGGGCCAGCTTCAGGAACTCCTTCCCGCTCACCACGCTCAGCGCGCCCAAGTCGGCACACATGACCCGCAGCAGCCGCTCTGCGATGTTCTGCCGCTCCTTCTCGGGGATCGTGCTGTTAGGTGTTAAACCACTGGTCGTGGCTGGCAGGGGACACAAAGAGAGGTGTGATTAACCCTGCCAGTCAAGGCTCCTTGGTCTGGCAGTGGCCTAATACTCAAGCATCTAGTGTTAGGAATTATGAATAGATTTCATCTTGCACACAAACTGATGGTCTTGGCAGTCTTTAACATGTGACAGTCTCACAGGAATAAAGTTCTGTGATTGATTAGTAATGCCTGCCGTGAGCATGGGAATAGACTGTAGTGATACGTGTGCAAATACTTGTTGCATGTCATTCACCTTGACCTCTGAAGCCAACCAGTCTAACCTCTTCCTCAGTATAGGAATGGCCTCTAACACAGGAGTCGCTAGTGAATAAGGTACGTGAGGCCACAGTGTCAGGAAAAAGCAGACAAGAGAAATCGTGGAGAGTGGATTTGGATTCCAATTCTGATTCGGTCACTAGTTTGTGTTCTCTGACCACAAACAGATCACCTCTCCCCAGGCCGCCTCTGTCCATCCCACGAGGTCAGAATTCCCACCAATGAGGTCTCAGGCATGAAAGTGCTTTGGAAACCATGATGCGTGGTCTTGCACCGCCATGGCAGACACACAGGGGTGGGGATGTGGGAGCAGAGGGGAACAAGCTGGGGTTGGGGGGGAGGTCTCTGGAGGTGGGTGTAGTAGACTTCCACCAGCCCCCAGGTCCGCCCAGGAAAGACCTACTGTTGTTGGCACTGTTCCTCTGGGCCTGGGGCTTCCACTTCTCCTCCACGACAGCAGGGGGCGATCGCGACTGGTTGGAGGCGATGTTGTTCTCGTTGTCCGCTGCGGGCACAAAGGGGACAGTGTGTTTCCCTGAAGTGCAAGAGGCCTGCCGGCTCCCCAGGCGAGGAGAACTAGAGCATGCGGGTGGAGGCAAGACTGGCCTCTGGGACTCAGGCCTGGGTTCAAATTCGGGCTCCTAAGACAACTATCTGAGGCCTGCAAAGCCTCAATTTCATCACTCGGAAGAATGAAGATAATCACACAATTGCCAGAAGGACTAACAAGAGATAATACAGGAAAAGAGCTGGGTACAGTGCTCAGCACGGAGTAAGCACTCAGGGAACCGCTGTGTCCCGAGTCTGGCTGGGAGGCACCCCCCAATACCCCCAAGCACAAAGTTCTAGCTCTGAGACCCGGGAGGGGGTGCCCATTACACTCCAAGAGGCCAAAAGCATCTCACACTCTTGCTTCTTTAAAGTGTGCCTTTTCGTCTTTTTAGTATATTTTAAACTTAAATGAACACAACAAAACCAAAGCCCTATATGACATAAAGTATACAATTCTCAACCCCCTCGTTACCTGTAGGAAGTGAAAACCAAAGTCTAGATACAGGAAAGGATTTGCCCAGGAAAACACAGAAAACCAGCAGCAGAGCTGGGACGGACATCCCAGGTCCCCTGGTTCCTAGTTGCCTCCTCCCTGCATTTCCCTAATTTTTGTTAACGTGTGCATATGCAGCCGTTTTCAGTTTTAAGTAATGGGCAGGTGCCATACTCTAGGCACGGTTACTCCTTGACATTTCTGTAAGATCATATCTGAGTGGAAATGGTCTGAGTTACATGCCTGTCATCACAAATGACCACACAATCTTTTATCACACAATATTCCACAAATTGCTTAACTACACTCCAAGTCCTAAGTTTCTGGGCTGTGCCGTTTACAATATTACTATCCTGCTCCGAACCTACTTGCCTAATATTCTAATATTGTTTCTCTGTGCTCTTCGGCTGTTGTTGTGGGTGTATTTCCTTAAGACGTCATCTTACAGGTAGAATTCACAACCTGAGGATATGAATGGGTCAGTGGCCTCTGTTCAGGGTTGCCAGACATCTTTCTTCCATTCTTCTCAGTTAAACGCATCAGGCCTTAGAGGTCAAGGCCACACTATTCATACCTAGAGAAGAGGCTTCCCCAACTTCTACATATTCGGTCAGACCTGCAAGACTAGTCAAGAGACTCTGGGATGTGCACTCAAGGAATATTTTGCAACCACTAGAAAGGTGGTCATGTAGACTGGAGCAACATGGGAAAATGCATAAGGTAATGAAAAGCAAGCTCTAATCATAATGTCATATGTATTATTTATAGATACATATTTTAGACTCACAAGTCAAATAACGAACAAACCTATGCATCGAAAAAAGATGGGGAGGGGACTTTCACTTCTGCCCTCCAGATGCAAACAACCGCTAATCATGATGATACGACTGCTTTCATACAGGCAACCCAGGGTCTGATCCCAGAAAAAGAAACAAGTGCGGTGAGCTCTCTGACTGTGCAACTTACTGCCTGGAAGCAGTTTTCAAGCCGCTGCGTAGGACCAGGGAACTGAACAGAGCCCAGCGGTCCCCTTGAAGAGACAGAGATTAAAGCTCAGGCAGGCCCAAGACAGCTAGAATTTACAGGGAAAAGTACCAAAGAGGAGGGAGTTACAAAAAGAGAGAGCTCTGGAGATTTCAATGGGGTGCCCTGGAGCCTTTGCTGTAGCTAATCTGCCTATGCATAGGGTCAAATTCCACAGGACTAGGGAAAGAATCACTAAAATGCAGTAGGCTGGTAACTCCCAGGGCTCCCACGTGGGGGAGATCATCTGCACCCCCTCAACCAGAACGGAAAGACCTCAATGCATGGGAAATACTATGGGGCTAAATTAGCCCCAGGCTAAGCCACTAGATCTGCCCTAATACATTTAAAGAGCAAGCCTCCAAAGTATTAAGGTGATCCCAAGTAACAAACTGTAAGCCAAGTTTAATACTCTTAAAAAATACAAAACCTAGCATCTAACACTATAAAATTCACAATGTCATTCATCTAATAAGTACCAGGCATTCAAAATAGTAGGAAAATATGACCTATAACATAAGGAGACAAACCAATCAATAGAAACAGACCTAGAAAGGACAGAGATGATGGAATTAGCCAAGAAGGAGCTTACAACAGCTGCTGAAGAAAAATCAGTGAAGCTGGAGACAGAGCAAAAAAATTACCCAATGAAAACCAGAGAGAGTAAAAGAATGAAAATAAATAAATGGAGCACGGACAATGTTAAGTGGTTTAACATAAATATAATTGGAGTCCCAGAAAAAGGGGGTGAGGCAGAAAAAAACATTTGAAGAAATGGCCAGAATCTTTCCAAATTGGATGAAACCATAAACCCAGGTTCTAAAAGCTCAGTTGACCCCCAGCAGAAATACATAAAGAAAACACCACCAAGGCACAGCATCATAATCAAATTGTTGACAACCAATGACAAGAGAAACTCTTAAAAGCAGCCAGAGAGGGGGAAAAATTAAGTACAGGGGAACAAGAATAACAACAGACCCAGCAGGTAACAGAACAAAGTATTAAAAGAGAATGTCAACCTAATATTCTAAATGTCCATCGATAGATGAATGGATAAAGAAGATATTTATATTTATAATCTAAATTTATATAATATAAATTATATTTATACAATGGGATATTACTCAGCCATAAAAAAAGGATGAAATAGTGCCATTTGCAGCAACATGGATGGACCCAGAGATTATCATACTAAGTGAAGTGAGCCAGACAAATACCATATAATATCGCTTATATGTGGAATGTAAAATAATGATACAAATGAACTTATATATCAATACAAAACAGAAACAGACCCACAGACACAGAAAACAAACTTATGGTTACCAAAGAGGAAAGGCGGGGAGGGATCAATTAGGATTAACATATACACACTACTATATATAAAATAGACAAACAACAAGGACCCACTGTATAGCACAGGGAACTATACTCAATATTTTGTAATAACCTATAAGGGAAAAGAATCAGAAAAAAAGATATGTATGTATGTATAACTGAATGACTTTGCTGTGCACCTGAAACTAATGCAACATTATAAATCAACTATACTTCAATTTAAAAAAAACACACAAAAAATTAAAAATAAAATAAGAGAATTCTAAATCAGTGATACTATCTTTCACAAATGGAGGTAAAATAAGGACCAAAAAAAAAAAAATCATACCTGCAACTATAAGAAATGTTAAAGGAAGTTCTTTAGGTATTAAAAAAAAAATGACATCACCCCCCCAAAGGAAAAAATGACATCAAATAAGAATCTGGATCTAGAGAAAGAAATAAAGAGTTCTGGAAAGTGTACATGAATGGATATAAAAAGTGTTTTCCCTCATTTTTAATCTCTTTAACAAGATAACTGACTGCTCACTGGAAAAAAATAACAATGAATTGTGGTAATTATATGTAGAAATAAACCATATGTTAACAACAGAAGAAAGACTAGGAAGGGGAAATAGAAGATTGTGTTGAAAGTTTTTCACACAATATGAAAAGGATAATAGCCTTTAAATGTAGACTTGATAAGTTAGAAATGCATAGTTCAAAACCCAAATAGACTAGAAAAAAAACAAGTTATAGCAAATAAATCCATTGTAGAGATAAAAATGGAACCATAAAAAATTCTCAGTCCAAAATAAGGCAAAAAATTAGAGAAAAAGGAATAAGCAACGAGTGAAACAATTAGTAAACAAATACGAAAATGGTAGATTTAAACCCAATAATACTGAAATCACATTAAATTTAAATGGTCTGCACATTTCAAATAAAAGTAGACATTGTCGTACTTAATAAAAAAGCAAGACCCCATGATATGCTATCTATAAGAAACCTATTTAAATATGAAGACATGGATAAGTTAAAAGTAAAAGGTTAAATAAAGGTATACCATACAAACAGTAATGAAGAGAAAGGTGGAGATGCTTGTGATAGTATTACAGAAGGAACAGACCTCAGAACAAGAAATATGATCAGGGGTAACAAGAGACCCTACATAATGATAAAGGGGTCAAATCACCAAGAATATATACTAACCCTAAGTGTGTGTGCAAGTGATAACAGAGCATTAAAGCACATGAAGCAAAAGCTGAGAAAACTGAAAAAAGAAACAGATAAACCTACAACTGGAAATTTCAACTGTCTTCTCTCAGTAATTGTTACTCTCATGAGAAAAGAGAAAAAAAGACTGAATATAAATGAACGGAGTGGACAACATCAAGCAGTCCCATATACATATAACTAGATTACCAGAAAAAGGAGGTGGAATAGAAAAATACTGAAATCATATAAAGTATAGTCTCTGACCATAACTGAATTAAATTAGAAATCAACAACAAAAAGATATTTGGAAAAGTTTCAGCTATTTGAATATTAAACATCACAGTTGTAAATAACCCATAGGTCAAGGAAACATAAGGGAGACCAGAAAATGTTTTGAACTAAACATTAAAACATAACATTTCAAAATGTGTGGGATACATCTAAATAAATGCTATTTATAACATTAAATAATTATCTTAGAAAAGAATAAACATTTAAAATCAGTGTTATAAAGCTTCTACACTAAGAGATCTGAAGAGTAAGTTTAAAGAGTAAGTTGAGTCGAACATAAGCAGAAGAAAGGAAATAATACAGATAAAAGCAGAAATTAATGAAACAGAAGATGGGTAAACACAGTAGAGAAAATTCAATGAAACTAAAAGCTAATTCTTTGTAGAGATCAGTAAAATTGACAAACCTCTAACAGGAAACATTAAAAAAAGAAAAAGAGGACACAAATTATTAGTAGCAGGAGTAAAAGAAGGGGACATCACTACAGATGCTACACATATCAAAGGGATTAAAATGATTATGAATAACTTTAGGCCAATAAATTCAACCATTTAAGTGAGGCAAAAAAAAAAAACAACCCTAAAAAACATAAAGTACCAAAGTTCACTCCA